ATCTGATCACGACTGCAACACACACTCACATTCTTGCCATTTTCTTTTGTGTGTGATCATTAAAGAGACTGTATCTTCAGCTGTTTAATGTCTTCTTTTACAACAAATAATTCCTTTGTGTGAGTCAGTCAACCACTAGAATTTTCGATGGCACCATGAATAGTTTTGCTTCCTGTCCAAATAATTTGTGGGCTAAGCCTTTCGGATGTATACAACACATCAAGGTCTGGTGTTTATGAAAAGCATTCCCCGATAGGAGAATAATTATTAAATATGAGTGAAAAATATTAAATTAAAACCAGCCAACTTATGAAAACTGCTAAGCTTCAGACATATGTTAAGAAGAGAAAAAACTCAAATAATCGGGTGCCTAGCAGAATAAGAATGATTAAAAGCTGTCTCGTTCTGTCTAGTCATAACCAAAAAAAAAAAAAATTACAAAAAATGCAGTGGGCAAGGGTGTACAACCTAGGAATTGGATCAGAGAAAGCCTTTTAAGAGGCTTCCGTTAGGAAACGAAAAGTGGTTTTGACCGCCGCTGAAGATACAACACTTTGTACATTATGTTTTAGAACTGACAAAAGGGAGTGCTGTGTTATCTTTCCTTAGTCTTGGGAAATGTCACAGTCAAGAGTAAAAATAAGGGAAAAGAAAAAGGACAAAACATTCAGCAAGAATCAAATTTGAACTTGAAGTGATGTATCTGGTTCTTCATTGTGTTACTTCGGCTCTAAGATGATATGTAGAGAGTGCTGCGGTGGTGAATAAAGGTTGGTACTTGATGTTAGACTGAATTAAAGGAAGAGATTTTCCCCTGAATATTGGATAAATCAGTACAAAGGCTACTCTTTCTGAACAGGATTTTTAATATATGAGGGGCCTTGGGCTGTTAACAGCTATTGTTCCAATATGTGCCATAAGTGACATGAGTTTATAAAGTGGTAAAGTTACTGTAGTAGTATGGGGTGTAGCAATATTAGGAAAGGAGGGCAGTAGAGGGGCAAAGAAATTTCATGCAGTTTGCAAGTATTAAATATTTCTTTTTGCATGAAGTTCAACAAGGCCAAG